GTAAGTTAAAAATTGCAGTTGTTGGAATTTTTGAGACATCCGAATGATTGTTTATTTATTCCGGTACACCTGAAAGTTTAGTCTGATATGCCCGGAATTCTTAATAAATCCAGAAGACCTCGCGTGTAGTCACATGTATGTAATTTAGAAACTCTAAAAATGACTGCCATTATGAAGCATGAATGACTATACACGGATAGCGAAAATCGATTTTAGAGGTAAGAGGACACTTTATCCGAATGCAGTCTGCATTTGCGATTGGATGGGTGCTGACTCCGCAGCCGGCCTACCGAACTGTAGGAAATTTCTAAAGGTTATGTTGACTGCCGGTCAACCTTCCCTAGGTAACAGCCTTTCTGGGAGAGCTTATCCACCATGTGCGTCCATGTTTCGCTAATTCGATTAACGCTGAATACACAATTAGCCTTGTCAACCTCAAAATACTCTTTCGAATGAGTGTATACGGCATAAAACCTCTCCTCACTAGAATGTAGTGATCGGCCTTTGCTTTTCCACAGCGTAAGTTCTTCAAATGGATGTGGTGCTTCAAATTCAGCCAATAAGCATATTTTAGTTTATGTACATATATACTGAGTACGAGATTTTGTCTATTTGCTGAGCCACCGAAAACTCCTAGGTGAATGAAATGCTTGACTCCAAGAGAAACTAGCAGTAGTGCAGGTTTATTCGAAAAATGTACAGACTAGAAAAAAACATAGCACGCGTACCTTTTATTTTTCCTTCGAATTGAGAAATCTGCTGCTCTTTCTGGAGATGCTGGGGAAATATTCCGCCAAGCCGATGATCTGTGCCGAGCCAATGAAGAAACAGTGTCAGCACCAATTAAATTCAAGAAAGCGTGTAGCAAAAATGGCACGTTCGTTTGATGAACTCTTACCCCATCCTGAACTCCTGTCTGTCTCGACCCAAACAACTGAAAACCTGCGATGAGTCTTACGGCCTTCAGACGACAGCCAGCTTTGCCACGGATTTTAGTGCCAACTGGCTGCATAAAAGTGTACTTTTAAGAGAAGCTAAGGTTTTTGGGGAGAGCCTGGATTTTTCTGGGAGCAGCAATTCACCGATTTCATGGCAGAACACGGCAGGTTAGACTATTTTGCTTTGAAATTGCACTCTATAGCTCTCTCTCAAGTGGTAGCATATCTGTGACGGGCAATTCGGTATCCTCGAGTAATTTATACGTTAAATTTAATAAATAAAAAGCGTTTCTGAATTTTGTATGGCGCCATTAACGAATAATCAAGCATAAACAGGGTATATGCCTCAACAGTGGATACCCGTGATCGGAACAAAAGAGTCTACCGAATTTAATGCCTGACTCCAGGACAGCACATAAGTGCGTTCTCTAGCATGGGTCATGCGCGTGTACAGGAAGGATTTTAAGCAAGCAGGGTGACCTTCACTTTTTAGGCCAACGTTAGGAGCTGACTAAACAAAGTCTAGTTCGGATGGGTAAGGGGAAGAACAGAGAACGTAAAGATCAACGTTCACGCAGGTCAGACAGATATCACCTACAACTGAATGTTCTCGAGTTTTTCTACTGCATTTTCAATGAAACCTATTCCGTTAAGCGTATATGTTACTAACAAACTTTTAGTAGCATGTTTATTTAAGGTTAGATATTGCATAAACCGTTTTTAATAGTGTACTTAAAGGCATTAACTATTACCCTTAAAATATACTGACCATGGAAGTTCACAGGAGATTGACGTGGAGAATTTCCAAACTCGCCAGAGAGAAGATAACAACAACAAGGGACGAATAATCCACAGGGAAGCCGACATAGGTGAGAGAGACTGTCGTTACCGCTTCTTGCGGCCTGGACGTTGTGGGGTTCGGAACACAACTTTTTGCATCAAGGCAAACCTAACCGACTGGAACGACCTATGGCCCAACGGTCAAAATTTAGGCTACGTGACAGATGACTCAGTCTAATAATGGATACATAAGCTACGATTTTTTGAGATGTCTACCAAGCAATGCGTCCAGGCTTAAAACGGACAAGGTCGAGTTTTGTGTCGAGTTCATCCCACCGTCTACCTTGCCATGTAGATCAGTTTATTCCTGGAACTCACAGATTAACTTGTTCATCAAATCTTTGCTTCCAGTTGACCATTACCAGCAAGGAAGCGCTTCGCGCGTTTTAGATCTCAACTTTGCCTATCACTGTCGGCTTCGAAAGAAGGTGAAGATCACGGAGGACAAGATGGTACAAGAAGCGGAGGGGGACTGAGGTAGAGCAGCTCCAAGAACGCTGAGGAGAAAAATGTGTTCGAGTCATTTGTGTTGATATTTTGCAAGGCAAACTAGACTAGACTTGTTGGAACTGGTGCATTTTTGTCTAAACTGCGGTCGTCATTGGTTGGTTTTCAGTAATGTGATAATCGCGTCAAGATTGTACATGCAGGTAGCATTAAACAGTGGGTATTGTTGAAATCATGCGGCGTTCATGGCCCTACTTGAATACTTCAACGGCTATTGGCACCACATTGCCCTCCGTCAAGGCCTCCCACGCTTCTAAAACCGGCGCCTTGAAGAAATTCTGCGCATTTAGCCTCGACACACCCACTCGCAGTTTAAATAAACAAATAAACTGTTTTAGTGAGTACCCCTTAGGGTACTATCAAAGGCAAGTAAAAACAAATTCCCAAGTGAATTATCGAACGAGTAGACATACTCTGAACAGTATTCAGTTCGTTCCTATACACAAACTGTTAGCGAGCAGGGAAAAAACACCTCGAAAAAGACACTTGAAAAAGACGACATAATTATGAATTGATTAGCTTGTAGGGAGGAAAAGAAGTCGTTCATGAAAGGACAAATATGCGGGTCGTACAGAACAGACCTGCATATGGTAGAGATTTGAAATGGACATCGACAAGTTAGAGGTCCTAGTTCGGATGAGGCTATCTGCCTCACAGTGGCTAATCAAGAGGAGCCCAGACGCGATCGGGCACAGTTCACCTCGAGTCCAACCGAGGAGGGGACATGAAAGACTGAGGCGTTCATCAAAGCATAGAGGGGAGCGGCGGCACTGAGACCT